CGCCCCCGCCCCTCCGAGTTCGCGTCGAACAGGTTCGTCGGGGCCTGACCTGCCCCGACTGCCCCGTCCAGGAACGAGGGGGAGGACAGGGGGAAGGAAAACGGCCCGGGGCGCTCACGTTTACCGCTTTGGCTTCCAATAGGGCCACAAGGGAGCCCATGATGGTTCTAACCTGGCTTCAAGCTGGCCCAAGGCGTTTTCAAGACGGCCGCCGATGGCAATGCCATGTTCCGCCAAGTCCCCGATGCAGCCCAGCGGGGCCAATGGCAGCAGGGCCCGCGCAGAAGGCCCAAAACAGTTATGCACAGTTATAAAACAGTTATAAAACAGTTATAAACACTTATAAACAGTTAGGAATTAGTTATACACTAATTACACAACAGCCCACTTACCGTTGACATACAACAACAGGTTGTGGCACTTCTACAAGTCAGGTTATATGCAGGTGTAGTGTAAGTCCTTAAGTGGACGGCAACTCATGTTATAAGTTGCACAACCGATCTGCGCGCCAAGAGGAGGCCCCCAGGAGGCCCCCAAGAGGCTCCGAATAATCCCCCAGGAGGCCCCAAGAAGCCCCGCAGAGGCGCCCAAGATTCTCCACGAGGCCTCGGCGAGAATGCTAAAACCAAAAATTTCCTTGGGTTTTCGGCCGCATTGTGGCCTCCTGGGGGGGGGGGGGGGGGGGGGGGGGAGGGGGGGGAGCTGATTCAGATGACTCCAGGGGCGCCTGGGGGAGCCCAAGATGACTTCCAAGATGGCGCAACATACCCCAAGATCCTTCAGAGTGGCCCCCCACGATGCTCCAAGATGCCCCATGACCGCCCCGAGACGGCTCCAAGTGGCCAAGAAGCTCCCTCAGGAGGCCCCGGAGAGGCCGACGTCCTTCCAAAACCTTAGGACAATCAATGACTTTCTCGCCTTCTCGCTTCCGCTGGCCACCCGAGGCCTCGAGATGGCTCCAAGATTGCCCGAGAGGGCCCCGATGGGGGGCTCAAGAGAGCCCCGAGACGGCCCCAAGAGCGCCCCGAGAGCGTCCCAATAGGCGACTTGTTGGGTTCCTGAGGGGCATCGCTAATTAATGTTCGTTTCTCGTTTGATCGACGCCCTCCAAAATGACCCCAAGAGCGCCCCCGAGGGCCCCGAGGGCGTTGCAAGAGGGCCCCGAGAGGCGCCCAGGAGGCCCCAGGAGGCCCCGGGCACCCATGGGTTTCCAAGACGCCCCCAAGAGACCCCTTAATAAGTTCCAGAAAGCTTTCCGCGGCACCCAAGAAAGTGGCGTCCGAGACCGTCGAGAGACCCCCAATACGCTCCAAGAAGCCTCCACTGGGGGGCCCTTCCTTTGCGCGCTGCCCACTTCCCTGGTCGAGGCAATTCCTTTGGGCGTTGTTCCTGGATGGGCTGGCGGGGTTGCGCGAAGCGTGTCGAATTATTTGTTCGACCGCCCCCTCCCTGGAAAATAATCCGCATGCCGCATGGGCCGAAGTACATGCGAGCGCACGCGCGCGCATGCATCGGCGCATGCGAATGAGCTGCGCGCGCGCAGATGCACAGGCTACTCCGGTCGACAAGTAGGTAGTCATTGTCTGACTGGGACACTGTACGCGCGCGCGCGCGATTGTGCGCGCGCGCGGCGGCGCCCAGCTTGCGCGCGGCGCGAGGCTGCGTTGCCCCGCGCTGGCCCCCATAACCCCAACATCTATGCATGTTTTTTTTCTCGCGCGGCTCGGGGGGGGAACGTGTCGCTGGGTGGTCTTGCGAGGCTGAATGGCGTTTGCGTTGGCTCCAGAATCCCAAATTTACAATTGGTTGTCCTCCCGCTGTTTTTGGGGTGACACGCGTCGACAGTTGTTTTTTTTTTTTTCGCGAAGCTGATTGGATTCACGTCGGCAACAAGGCCCCAAACATTTCCATCGTTTTTGCCCCGTCGGCCTCGGGAGGGGCGCGCCCCGCCGGTTGTTCTTGAGAGGCTGATTGGCTTTATATGGGTTTGGGAATCTAAAACGTATAGTTCGTTTGTCTTTCGCAGTTTCGGGGGCGGCGCGCGTCGCCCGTTGTTTCTGCGAGACTGCGCGCCCTTATGTCGGCGCCCCGGGCCCCAAAATAACAGGCAGTTTTTCTCGCGCGGTTTCGGGGGCGACACGCGTCGCCCGTTTTTCATTGCTTGCGAAGTTGGATGGCCTCATGTGGGCCCCCAGAAACCAAGATTTCCACGTTTTCATTTCGGGGGTGACTCGCATCGCTCGCTTGGCACCATAACCCAATATTTACCGATAGTTTTTCCCGCGCGGTTTCAGAGACGACAGTTGTCACCCGCTGTTTTCTGCCAGGTTGAATGGTCTGCGTTGGCTTCCAGACTCCTAAGATGCGGTTTTTCTTGCGCGGTTTCGGGGGCAGGGCACGGCGCCGGCGCGCGGCTGAATGGCCTCGCGTTGGATCGCGGAACCGTCGATTTGCAGCTGTTTTTTTTTTTGTTTTTCTCCCGCGCGGCTTCGGGGAAAAAAGCGTGTCGCCCGTTATTTTTTGTTGAGCTGAAAGGCCTCGTACTGCCTCCCAGAACGCTAAATTTTAATTTGGTTTTCCTCGCGCGGTTTCGGGGGTGACGCGCGTCGCCCGTCGTTTCTCTGTGGGGCTGCATGGCTTTATGTTGGCTCCTAGGATCCAGAATTTACCGTCCGTTTTTCGCGCGCCTTCGGGGGTGGCACGCGTCTCCCGCCGTTAGTTTTGTTGCGAGGCTGCGCGGCCTTGCGCGTGCCCCCAGAATCCCAAACATAAAAGTAGTTGTTCTCGCGCGGTTTCGGGGGCGACGCGCGTCGCCGCTCGTTTCGGCGTGGCTGAATGGCCCTTCTGCGGGCACTTTGAAAATTAACATAGCGTTTTTTCCTCGGACCGTCTCGGGGGAGACACGCTTTGCCCTTTGTTATTTTGCCAGGCTGGGTGGCTTCGCGGTGGATCCCAGAACCCCAAGTTCGCAATTTGTTTGTATCTCGCTGTTTCTGAGGCGACGCGCGTCGCTTTTTTTTCGTTTCTCTCTCCTCCTCTGGTCTTGCGAGACTGAGCGGCTTTAGGTTGGCATCCAGGACCCAAAAGCACGAGCCGTTTTTCTCGCCCGGCTTCGGGGGCGACGCGCGTCGCCCGTTGTTTTTGCGAGGCTGAGCGGTTGTATGTTGGCCCCCAGAATCCCAAACATACAATTGTTTTTTGTCGCGCGGCTTCGTGGGCCACGCGTTTTCCGCGTTGTTTCTGCGGGGCTGGATGGCCTCATGTTGGCCCCCAGAATCCCGCGTTTGCAAGTTGCTTTTCCCGCGCGGCGTCGGGGGGGGGCGCGCGCCGCCGGTTGTTTTTGCAAGGCTGCGCGGCCTTGCGTTGGCCCCCAGAACCCCAAATGCACGATGCTATTGTTTTTTCTCACGCGGTTTCAGGGGCGGCGCGCGTCGCCCATTTTCCTCTGCGCGGCTGACTGGCCCTGGAACGGCCCCAGAGTCCAATATGCAAATTTGCTTTTGCTCGCGCAGTCTCGGGGGCGACGCGCGTCGCCGTCTTTTGTTTGGCGAAGGTGCATGGCGTTGCGTTGGCCACCGGAATCCCGAATTTACCATTGTTCTTTCTCACGCGGTTTCGGAGGTGACGCGCGTCGCCCGTTGTTTCGTGCGAGCGTGAGTGGCTTCATGTTGGCCCCCAGAATCCCAGCGTTACAATTGGTGCTTCTCGCGCGGTCTCGGGGGTGGCACGTGTCACCCGTCGATTTTGTGAGGCTGAATGACGTTTTGCCGGCTTCAAAGAATTCTACAATTTCGAATGTTGTCTCGCGCGGTAAAAAAGAATGGCCTTGCGCTTGTTCTCAGAATCCTAAATTTTCAACTGATGTTCAAGCGGCTTCTCACGCTGAATGGCCCTGCGATGCCCCCCAGAATCTGAAATTTAAAGAGGGTTTGTTTCTTGCGGTTTGGGGGGTGACACGCGTCGCCCACTGTCTTTCGGGGCATCAGAGTGGCCCTGCGTTGGCTCTCAGAACCCCAAATTTACAATTTAATTTTCGCGCGGCTTCGCGGTTGACGCGCGTCGCCCGTTGTTATTGCCAAGCTGAATGGCTTTGTTTTGGCCCCCAGAATCGAACATTTAAATTCGTTTTTTTTTCTGTCGCGGTTTTCGGGGTCACGCGTGTCGCCCGTTGTCCTCGCGAGGGTGAAAGGCCTCGCATCGGCTCCCAGAATCCAAATTCAATTGGTTCTTATCGCGCGGTTTCGGGGGCGACGCGCGTCGCGCGCTGTTTTTATTGAATTGAGTGGCCCTACGTTAGAGCCCCAATTGTACATTTGTATGTCCCGCGCGGTTTCAGTGGCGACGCGTGTCACCTGTTGTTGTTGGTGGCTTTATGCTGGCTCCGAGAATGCTAAATTCGCATATTTTCCCATCGCGGTTGCGGGGGCGACGCGTGTCGCCCGTTGTGTTTGCGAGGCTGAATGGCCTTCTGTTGGTAGGCCCCCGGCCAGCGCGGCCCGGCGCCAATGGGGGGCGCGCAGGATTCCGCCCCTGCACGCGGAGCGCCAGGGCGGTCGCGGGGGCGCCCCAGACGGTCCGACGTGCCCCGCCTTCCTTTTGTTGTCTACTTGCGCACTACAGCGCTGGGAACAATTATGGCTTACCCCCCCCGGGTTTTGGCTTTTTCTTGAACAAAAAACCGATTCTAGACATTGCAGACCTTCGTGTTCTTCCGGGTTCAAGTGCATCAGGGCCCTTGAGCTCGGGCGTTTCGGAAGAAGCCCGCGCGCGCATCGCTTGCGCTCATGTTCGCAGCATCTCGTCGCTGAGATATCTTTCTCATAATCACATTGCCAACGCGAATATCATTGCAGTTCCGCGTCTGAGTTGGTCGTGGGAGCAAGCTCGATCACGGCAACAACCGCGACCCGCGCGCGCGCCTTTCCGCACTAAGTCTTTCGCTTGCTACGACGGGCAGCTCGCGCGTGATCAGTGCGACCTGACACCGCTCGCCTATCGCTATGGCAACTGGAGGAGCTGCCGCGGCCAGCGTCGAGGACAACTCGGGAGGCAAGATCCCCATGCCCGTCTTCAACGGCGCGAGCAAGAGTATGAAGCAGCACCGCCAGGACATGGCCATCTGGCAGATCGGGAGAGAGGTCAAGTTGTCCAAGCAGGGGGCGACACTGCTCCCGAACCTGAAGGACAAGGCCGAGGAGGCTTGCGTGGAGCTCAATCTGGAGAGCACCAAGGGCGACGACACGGCGGAAGTATGTTTGGCCTATTTCGGGGAGCGGTTCCCCGAGACCGAGGTGCTGGATCCGAGACTTGAGCGCTGCTCGAGACTTTCGCGAGGCCAGCATCCCTCATGCACAAGTTCGAGGAAATACCGGACTACAACAATCGCTTCAACGGAATTCGACGAAGCTAGAGGCCGAGGGCATTGCGGTGCTGGATGAGGTCTTGGTTGACCTGTACCTCAAGGGTTCGCGTCGGCCTGCAGGGCGCGGGGCTGGCGTGCCCAGCGCCGTTGGTAACAACTCCAACCCCGCGGGGCTGCAGGAGCAGCTGGTGATCAACCTGCCCAAAGTTTCGGTCGTGGACGGCCATGGCGACAACCGCGGCAAGGGATATGCAACTATGGTAACAAGAAGGAAGGCGAGTACAGGTCACGTAAAGCTTACGCCACGCAGACAGGTGAGGATGACGACCACGGCCGCGGAGCCGACGACGACGCGCCCAGCGACTCGTCGGAGTTCGAGAATGACGTCCCCGACGAGCTCCAGGACGTCCTTGACGACGCGGAGGAACAGGTGGCGTTCTCTGCCAAGAAGATGCTTCGCGCGAGGGATAAGCTGAAGGAGGCCAGGCAGGCCAAAGGCTACTTCGTCAAGAATGACGGAGGTCCCCCGCCCCGGCGGAATGGCGGCAAGGCTGCCAGGATGAAGGCAAGGACTTATTGCGGAGCCTGCGGCAAGAAGGGACAGTGGCGTGGATATCTGCAGTGCCCGAAGAAGGACGGCCCGACGGCGAAGGTGGAGATCCCTCGCAAGGGCAGTCACAAGGTAAACCTCACGAGCAGCGAGGCGTCTAGCCAGCAGCAGGAACCGCACGAAGCCACGATGAGCCCGGCCACGATCCACTACGTTTGCGAGCTGGTAGCACATTCTGGCGCATGGCTGTGTGGAAGAATATAGTGATGATGACGACGATGGTGATGAGGAGGAGGAGAGGACGGAGGAGTAGGAGGAGGTGGCGGAGGAGTAACGACCCCCAGGGACCTCACGAGATTTCTTGGGAGAATGCGGGGGGGGGGGGGAGGCGGAGGGTGCCAGCATGGGAGCCAGAGGGGTTGGATGCCACCGCCTCTCGTTTTTTCTCCTTTCGCCCACAAGCACACGCCCCTTCATCCATATAGAGAAGGTTCCGAACAACCGCGAATCGGCCGGCCAGTATAGTATCATCCCGCCGCGACGTGTGCTCGGGTGCCGAAGGCACGCGCGCCCCATTTGCAAGGACACCCCGTGTACTCGATATGCTGGGGCGCATAGTATCATGTACCTCCAGTCTCCCGTCCCATCGCCATTTCATGTTATTGTACATCCGATCCTTCGCTACATGATGCAGGACCGACGGGGAAGGTATATTCGACTCTGCAGGCCCACGGTGGGCGCCGTTGCACACAGGTTCTGCACCTCTAGTTTTTGGTCGGGCCCCCAACGGGTGCGAACGCAAGTAGTCAAGCGACACACATGTTCGAAATCTGGCCGATCTGTTTTGGCGGGGGGCCAGATGGCAGGCCCGTTGGGGAAGGACGCGCGAGATGCTTCGATATTCGTGCGGGTGCAACGGTTCCTGGCCTGGCCATTTGATTTTGCCCCCAAACCCTCACCCCCGGGCCTCTCGCAGGGCAGGGGCGTCGGGGCTGCAGGTCGATGATGCGGGGCAGCTGGTGGTCACAGCAGACAGTGATCTGCAGAAGGCCAAGGCCCACTGGTTTCTGGACATGTTGCTGCTCGAGCGGAGGAAGGGCCTGGCCGTACTCGACGGGTCGAAGCAGCACGCGTTCGCCACGGTGATCAGGCAGCCTGCCAATTTCAGGCTGACGGCGTCGACTACCAAGGAGATTTGTTTCAAACACAAGGTCCTGGTGTTGGCCGCCAAGGATGCGCAATTTCGAGACGAGGAGGTTTCTAAGGACGACGACGTGGAAGTGTACGCGAACGAAGTTTGGGACCTCGCGGAGGTCGTGGAGGTCCCCTCGCCCAAGACCGGCCACAAGGTCGGAACATTGGGTCACCGGTTCATTTTTTGTTCAATGAGTTCCAAGTATGCACGCTTCGCGTATCCCCACAAGCCCATCCAAAAACAGTGTCAGTGTACAGTGGAGTTGTCTGGAGGAGGGGCGCAGGTATGCAGAGCCTCTTGGAACCATCCTTGGGGAATATTTGAAGCGGTTTGTGTTTTTTGGGGGCCCTCTCAAGGCTCTCATGCGGCCCTTTTGGGGCGTTGGGGCTATCTTGAATGCAGTCAATTGAAGGGGGCGGCGCTTATTTTCCTCCCATGCCGGGCCTCCCAACATCCTCTAGGGGCCCTCTTGGGGCGTTCCTGGGTGTCTCTTGCCCGCTCTTGGAGTCGTCTTGGAGCCATTATGGGCCCCTCCCAGAGCTGTCTTGGGCCATCTTGGAACCATCTTGAGTCGTCACGAGCTTATCCGAAACGAAAAGGCGTCAAGGCAAGCAAGTATGACTCCAATTCATTGTTGGAACGATTTATGCCTACCGGGGGCATCCTTAGGAAGCCCCGTGGCCACTTGGAGCCGTTTGTGGGCGGTCTTGTAGGTAGTTGGAGGCATGTTCGAAGCCATGTTGGGATATCTTGTGCGATCTTGGAGGCCATCTTGGATTCGGGGCCATCTTGGAGCCATCTTGGACGCTCTGACCGCTCACGGTTGGAGGGACCCAGACCCAAAACCAAGGGGGAGGGGGTTGAAGGAGGGGTGAAGCTACCCCGAGCCGCAAGCGTTGTCGATCACTCCCACCCGCCCTCCCACTGCAGAAGTAGCACCTGAGTCTCAGCACAGGCAGACATGGGCAGCCATCGACAACCATCGGAAACCAATGCAGACGCAAGCCAGATGCGCATTGTCCGCGAGGTGCGCCGCACGTGCCAGGTGCGCCACGCGCACCAGGTGTGCCACATTGGGCAATCTGTCGACCGCCCCACTATTGCTGCCAAAGCCACTGCAGAGTGACGGCGGGTTTGCGAGCATCGTGTGTGTCGCGTTTGGGTGTGCACCCGCAGTCACCTTGCACTTGTGTTTTGCAGGTTTAGTAGGCATGCGCAGCAGGCAGTACGCCGCTCCCCCCCCCGCCGCCCCCACAAAAAACAATGCAAAGTTATCGGGGGCGTCAGTCGGGTGGGCGAGGGGGTATATACGGATAAGGAAGAGTCGTTATCCCAGTGCGATCCTACCTAGGAGTTGGAGCCTCTAGGAAAGCAACATTCGAAGGAGCGGTAAACGCCGTCCTCCTCCTTCTCCGCATCGTCGTAGTTGTAGCAGTAGCGGTAGTAGTAGTAGTAGTAGTAGTAGTAGTAGTAGTAGTAGTAGTAGTAGTAGTAGTAGTAGTAGTAGTAGTAGTAGTCGTAGTAGTAGTAGTCGTAGTCGTAGTCGTAGTCGTAGTCGCAGTCGTAGTCGTAGTAGTAGTAGTAGTAGTAGTAGTAGTAGTAGTAGTAGTAGTAGTAGTAGTAGTAGTAGTAGTCGTAGTAGTAGTAGTAGTAGTAGTAGTCGTAGTAGTAGTAGTAGTAGTAGTAGTAGTAGTAGTAGTAGTAGTAGTAGTAGTAGTAGTAGTAGTAGTAGTAGTAGTAGTAGTAGTAGTAGTAGTAGTAGTAGTAGTAGTAGTAGTAGTAGTAGTAGTGGTAGTGGTAGTGGTAGTGGTAGTGGTAGTGGTAGTAGTAGTAGTAGTAGTAGTAGTAGTAGTAGTAGTAGTAGCGCCAGAACCGCCGACGCCACGCCGTAACTGAAGCAGCAGCAGAAGCAGGCAGCAAGTCGCCGAGACAGCAGCAAAAGCAAACAGGCACGGAGATGAGGGCGGGGCATTGGGGAGGTCTTCACATCTACATATATGTATATATATATGTATATATATATATATATATGCACCTACATCTACATCGACACCTACATATACGTCTAGACCTACATCGACATCTACACCTACAGCGACATCTACATCTACACCTGCATCTACATCTACATCTACATCAACAGCGATACTCACATCTACATCTACATCTACACCTACATCTGCATATACATCTACACCTACATCCACATCTACACCTACACCTACATATACATCTACATATGCATCAACATCTACAGCAACATCTACATCTACATCTGCATCTATAGCAGCAGCAATAGTGGATGCTGTGCTGCGCTATGCTATACTATGCTATGCTATGCTATGGAATGCTGCGCAATGCTATGCTGGGCTAGGCTAGGCTATGCTATGCTGCGCTGTGCTATGCTATGCTATGCTATGCTATCCTATGCTATGATTTTGCTTTGCCTTCGTTTTTGCCTTCACGTGTGCCTTTGCTTTTGCTTTTGCTTGGCACCCAGGGAGCGCAACGGGGGGAACCGCGCGTTTGCTTTTACCGTTGCTGTTGCTTTCGCTTGGCTACCAGGGGACTGGGGGAACCGCCTGGGGCGGTTTCCGCTGCCCAGCCCCTCTAAGCTAAGAAAGTAAGACCCCTTCTAGGCAGAGCCTAGGTAGGGAACGAAACGCTTCCCAAAAAGAAAGAAGGCTTGGACGAACGATCTTGGGGATACTTATTTATTCGAAGCAGCATGGTTTAATTCAATTCTTGACGCTTCGCGTATCAAACACATCATTTTCCGCGCCCCGGACAGCCTCTGACTTCGCCTGCGCTTTCGCTCGCGGACGCGACCGAACAAAAATGGTATCAAAAACATCTTGGCGCAGCTGCGTGCAGCCAACGTGGCCATATCTTGGCGCATGCATCGCCTCGAGGAGTCTGGGGGGATCCATGCCACCCCACGGTCGTTTCACACCGGAGCAAGCCGCAGCGCTCATCCAAGGCACATGGCAAAAAGCTCCCTCCCAAATCCGCACTCGCAGCACCACCCTCCACCTCGCCAACCTCTCTCTCGCACTGCTGCTGCCTGGAATTCGTGCACTGCGTCCGTCACCCCGTACCCTGCGCACTACACCTCACCAGATGAACGCATCGAGCGGGATCTCCGCGCGCAACTCCGGGTCAGTTTCTGGATGGCCGGCGCCACCTGGATCCACGATTTCACATTCACCGGGACTGGGATTCTCTTCCAGGTACCGAGAGCACCCACATGTCCGGCCGCACTGGCGCGCGCGGTGGCAGCACCTGGGCACGTCACGAATGACATCTGCGGCCCTACACCAGCGCAGAGACGGGCTCGGTTCCGTTGGAATCGCACTGTAGGGTGGGCGCGGAACTATCCCTCCCACTGCACGCCCCCTCGCCCTGGCTCTCGAGTAATGACAGCGGGCAAGGCCGCTGCTATCATTCTGCAAGTACACGACAACCCAGCCCTCTACCATGGCCAAAATGTTGCGCGGGCGGCTTACACTGCTGCCTGGCACCAGCTACACGGACTCTCGATGCAGAAATGGCTCAGGCAAACCAGCACAGACCGCAGGTGGGCAGCCGGAATTGGTGTCGAATGGAATATACTTCACCACGTCCCCTCCTTCACGGCTGTTGCCCACGTGCCCCGCTTCTTTTCCAACGGAATGCTGGGGCCAGCGAGACGAAGGGGCGCCGCAGACAGACTCACGCACGTCTGCTGCAACTGCCACCAGACAGCACGCAGGATTCGTCACACCGCCAGCTCCCAACAACACGGCCACGCCTGGTGTCACGCTTGCTTCGGAGCATGAATGGTCCAACCAGATCGCCCTCTGGGCCGCGCTCCCGAACGAAATGCTACCGTTGGAGCTCCACCGGGCAGCGCATGCCATCAGGGGCGACAGAACCAACTGCCTTCAGATCCCGCTCACCTCTGGCTCCTATGAGGTCTGTCCGCTGTGCGGCACCGGCGAGGCAATTACGGGGCACCTGTGGACATGGCGCACAGAAGTCGCAATGGCCTGGGACCGGGTCAGGCAGGAGGGGGGGCCGCTGGATCTGGGAAGTGCTGTCACGACAATTGGGCCACATCAGCAGATGGCAGTTAGAGTGGTGCATCAGACCTCCTCTCGGTGCTGCGCTAATCGCACGCTCGCCCCCCTGACACCACAGGAAGGTGCGAGGTTGATCGTGCTTGGCCTTGAAATCCCTGATCGCATGGAATAGTCCGAAGACCGCGAAGATATGCCCCCTCCAGCGCGCGAAGGCCAGGATGCTGAAACTGCAGTCTGGGCTCCTATGGAAGAGCACTGCGCTGCGCGCAACCCCAATCCCCTGCCTCGCCGCGCGACGCACAGCTCAGCTACTCCGCTCGCCAAACGCGCCGCGGGACGTGCGGGGGGTGAAATCAAGAGACTACCTGTCTTTAGCCGCGCAGTAGCCTCCGGCGAGCACCTTGCTACCCTGCATGCGCATCATCGCAGGGCGGGCTGGGTTTTACCCGGGCCTGGCTGGTTCCCAGGCCCACGCAGCGACCCCCGGCCTACAGCCGAGTGGACGCGCTGGCACTGTCGCCTTTGCGACACACACGTCGCCACACTCCGCGCCGCGCAAAATCTCGAGCTGGGAGTAGAGGTGATTGTCAAACACTCTCCCTTCCCTAACCCCGACTCCACCTTGTGGCCGCGCGAGGTCACCCTTGACGGCGGCGCGCGCGCATTCGGTGACCGCAAGGTCGCCGGAGGCGGCGCCGCGCATTGGCATCGCAGCCCAGAGACTGGACGCCCCGACCTCGTCGGAATCGGCGCCGCAACCTCGCCCAGCTCTGATGGCGCACAAGCAGCCGAAGTGGCGGGATGCAGGGCAGGGCTATCACTTCTAAGCTTCATAGCGTGTCGCGGGCAACGAGCACGCGCGGTTGGCGACAATCTCTGTGCCATCAACTACGGGGCAGGCACAGCCAGGTACAGGCGTCTCACGCTCTGCCAACAAATGGAAAGAGGCCTTCTGTCCGCTGAGGATGCCGGGTGGGCGCTGACCTGGCAGGCCGTGCGAAGTCGCCTCAACAAAGCTGCTGACCGCCTTGCCACGCCGGGCGTCTTCCGGGCCCGCGAGCTGCACGAAGCTGGCCAAAACGCAACCGCCATC